AGAGAGAGAGAGAGAGAGAGAGAGAGAGAGAGAGAAAAAGAGAGGGAGGGAGGGAGTGGGCTGCTGTACTTTGCGGTTACAGTGATGGTCGCCAACCGCAGCCCTGCCTGCAGTTGCGCGTCCGAGCAACGCCTGCTGGAGCGCACGGTAACACTAGTTGGACTCAGATCGCCCGCGAAACAAGCAGTTGAGCAGAAGCGTTGTTGCGCGGTTGCTCTCGGCCTCCGAGTGTTGTGTTTACAGACCGATCGCAGGAACATTTTGGTGTGGTGAGTCCCGCGGGACACGGCCCCAAGCGTCAAAACAACACAACCGAAGCTGGTTCGCTGTTCTTTGGCGCGCCAAAAATTCATACAGGTGGTGGAGTTCAAGCGGAGGTATGACGGCGACAACGTGGACGTGGAGGGATGCAAGATCACGGAGGGTAACCAGGGCACCACGTGCTCGGTCCAGATCGAGGTCGATGAGTGAGTCTCGTGGCAGGACCACCCGCTAGCAACAACCTCGGCCGGGCGTTGGTGCCGTTTCATTTTTGTGATTTCAGTTTTCTCGACCGCGCCATCAGAGTGTGCGTGCGTGCCGCGTCAGGTGGTGCCCCCCCTTCATGCGAACCCCGGCTTTAACGGCTCTGAGTTGAGATGGCGTTGCTGTTGCTACGGTGCAGAACGAGCCTATAGCTCTTTTTTAGCTTGCCCAACCCTCGCTCCTTTTTCTTGAATTGCGGGAGAAGTAATATAGAGAATTGTTGATGTCGGTGTGTGTAGGTACACGGAGTTAAACCAGCCTCCCTACCGTTCCTCTCACTTCGCCGCGTAATCTCCGTTTCGCTCTCAACCCTGCCCACCCCCCTCACGTTCCACCATGAACCGAAATCGCCAACGCCTCACAACCTACTGCCTTGACTCGTTTGGTCGGACAGGTTCATGAAGCCACCAATCTACGTGTACTACGAGCTGAACAACTACTTCCAGAACCACCGCAGATACGTCAAGTCTCGGAGCTCGCTACAGCTTCTGGGCGAGGTACGTACCCTTCCGTGCACAAACCAAAGCGAAACAAGGCATCGCGTTTGACGGCCGCCGAAAAAACAAAACGTTCTCATCGTTCGGCGACGCTCAAAATGAATATTCCTCTCGGGAAAAACACCGCAACCGGCAGCGGTGTTCCGTCCCTGGAAAAACTCCACGCGGCATCGTGTACGGCACGTCCATCCTCACGTGCCACGCCCGAAGTAATCCACGCCGGTGTTGTCGCCTATCCCACCGGTTTGGTTGCGTGTCGTGCCCTGCCGCGGACACGGACACGGGCGCCAGGCGGTGGAACCGGACGAAAACTGCGAGCCGTTGGAGCGGACAACCGTTGGCGGAGAGATAATGGACCTGAACCCGTGCGGGTTGATCGCGAACAGCATGTTCAACGGTGAGGCAGGCCACGGGTAGAGCGAGTAGGGTCCTCGGGGTCGGAGAGATTTTATGAGAACTTTTTTCTTGTTGCTCGGGGCGGGCGTGTTTTGTTGTAGCGTGTGAAACACGAGGCCGAGTGGGCCAAAGGAAGCAGCCACGGCAGCACCAACAAGAACAGCAGTAGGAGCGGGAAACGAAACACGTCCCTCCCCAGCCCCTTGTTCGTTCAAAAATATGGAGCACATCCCAGCGGCCGGCGTCAGTTGCTATGGCCGGCACTGAAACGGACTCAGCCCCTTGTACCACGACCGACGACAAACACGTAACCCCCGCATGCTACTGCGACAAAAATACAGATATCATCCAGCTCACCACCGAGGGCGTGACCATGTCCGAGAAGGACATATCGTGGGAGTCGGACCGAGAGACGCGGTTCAAGCAGCCGCCGGGCTTCACGTTCGCGGAGTGCTCCGCCGACACGTCCTGCTCCGACTGCCTCGGCGGCAGCAAGTACTCGTCCTGCGGGGACCACACCGACGAATCCACCGGGACGGAGTACAAGTTTTGGTACCCGGATGACGAGACGGTGAGCCGCCGCCCCGTCCGTTGTCGGACTTTTCTCGATCGGGTTGTGCGTTGTGGGTGCAACAGCGAGCCCCTCAAACACACGTACACTTTTCATTGGTCAGCCGGTTCGCGCGGTCGATGCAAATAGTAAAGACACACACTGTTTGCGCCCAGTTTCGTCCAATCGACCCCCCCATCGTGTCGGCGGAGCCCCCCAGTGGTCTAACCGCAAAGGCATGGAAAACGTGAGTACGCCACCCACCACGGGAGTCAGCAGTTTCAAGTTTTTTTTCATGCCCCGCGTTGCGCCCCACGTGTTCGCAGACGCAGTTCCTGTACGAGACGTACCCGGAGGTGGTGAGCCCCATCGAGGGCGTCCTTAACGAGCACTTCATCGTGTGGATGCGCACGGCAGGGCTGCCGCGGTTCCGCAAGCTGTACGGGAGGATCGACGAGCAGATAGAGGCACCGCAGGTCCTGACCTTCAACATTACCGCAAGTGAGGAACGGGACATTGATGTGGGCAAAATCATGTTGGGATGCCATGTTTCGTGCTTTCGCCTCCGTGTACTGAAAATGATTGCGGCGGATGTGCTCCGTGCAGTTATATTTAGATCCGTGGCTAATTGGCAGGGTTGCGCCCGGTTGCCGGATTTGTTTTGTGCTGTAGACACAGGCACTTGGCCATTGCTCGTGCGTGTGTGTGTTGTGTTTCGATGAAAAACAAGCGTGTTCCTCGCGATTACGCACAGGCACGCTTTCTGCCTGTGTTGCCGAAGCTATCGTCGGCAATTCTTTCTGTCCCTTCTCTCGTCAGGTCTTGGTCTTGCCTCGTGGATCCTCCTTGGCAGGATTCGCCACTTCCCCCCCCACTACTCCAACGTGTCCCTACCCCCTCGTCCACGTCTTGAAAGTTGGACATGCATGGACAGTGAACACAACCATCAACCGCACCCTCCCAGACCGACACGAGTCCACCTCTCCGGCGCCTGTAGCTGGTGTCTGTCTGATGGGAGAACAAAAAACGCGACAAGAATACCCCCTCCCCCGCTTTTTTTCTCACGCGGGCGGAATCCCCCCCCCTCCCCCGGTTGACTTGTTTCGGCAACTGCAACGCAGATTTTTTCGTGGGCGACTTCTCGGGGGAGAAATCACTCGTCGTCTCGAACTTGTCTTTGATGGGGGCCCGGAATCCGTACCTGGGCATCGCGTATATTGCCCTCGGGTCTCTCTCCCTTGCGATCGGCCTCGCGTTCCTCATCAAGCACTTGTCGAATCCGAGGAAGCTGGGGGACACGCGGTTCTTGGTCTGGAAGGACACCACGCTTTAAGCATGCCGGTTGTGGAATGAAATGAAGATGCAGGTGTATGATTCATTTTTTTTTTTTTTTCGCTGCAAGGTTGGGTGGTGGATGGTTCAATCTAGCGGTTCCGACTGGCGTTTTCGCTGTTTTTTTGTCGCCTTCGGCGTGAGGGCCGCTCGTTGTCTGACGTCCCCCACGTGGTGGGGTAGGGTGACGGCACTTGTCAAGCACGTATGCTTAGCTAGCTAGGGTGTGCGCGTATTCATGCAAGCAAGCAATTGGCCTTGCTGTGTGATCGCTCGGGGCGTGTTTGTGTCCAATTCTTCGTCGCGGCACAGAGTGGTGTTTGGGCCTGCTGTAGAGGAGTTTGTTTAGATAACCATATCCACGAGTTGGCTTCGGTTTGTCCGTGTCGTAGTCTATCACGCAGTTCGGTGTGTAAGTTTTTTGTGTGTGTAAGCAGTATTCGGACAAGGGTGTCTGTGTATTTTTTACCTCTTTTAGTTCTTGAAATATACAGATTCGTCGGGAGCGCTTGTGATTGCTCCCTCCGGAGTATTTGTAGACCCGGTTGCACAAGGGAAATACTTTTCTTCGTGTTTGTTGATGGGTTGAGGGAAGACCCCCCCCCCTCGTCGGTGTTTGGTGGTTGGTGGTTGATCGCTCGACCCCCGTTGTACGTTTTGCTTTAGTTTGTTGTCCCTGGTTTTCTACGCGCGGCTGTGGTCGGCCCGCTGTTCAGCTCCGTGGAAAGGGCTGTGACATCCGGGGCGTGTCTCCAATGCACGGCTTTCAATGCTTCTTCAGATAGTCACCACCTGGGCGCGCAAGCCGGCCGCCCACTTGTTTGTTCACCTCGCGTAGCTTGACAGGTATCGAGAGGGACAAGACTGTAGGGTATGGTTTGAGGTTCTGCCCGAGTTCCGCGTTGCTTGTGTATCAGCACCCTCCGCACGCTAGCACAATTTGTGAATGTTTGGCTCACCTGCGCTCCGGGTCTGGTCCTGTCCGATGCCTATTCCGAAAACGGGCTGTTAAAAAGTTTCTAGTGTCTAGCCTTGCCAAAAAAATATCATTCGAAATATTAGTCTGACAATTAAGCCAGTCGCTCCGAGGACTTTATTGCTCATCATCAGCCCGATTCTTTCACCAATGCCGCGCACAATACTCCTATTATCACCCTAGTTTGGTGTTCATTATGCCCGACATGAACGCAAACCGGTCTTGTCGCCATCTCAAGATTTCCCAACACGCCTTCACCGCCCCTTCTCCCACGAGAAAAGTGCCTCCTGGACCGTTGCATGGACCCCGCGCCACAGACCACGCACACACCGGCGTCTTAACCCAGCCGCACGCATCAGAAGTCCCGTTAATATTTACACGTGGTCAAGACACCAACTTGGCGGCGGAGTTGGTCTCACTCGACAGCCGCTTTTCCATCTCTGAATTACCGCAGCCGCCATCACCAGCAGGGCTTTTTCCTTCCATGCGCCCTTCTTCCCCATCTACGGCAGCTGCCCCTTCCCGCCCAGCACCCTCCTCCAACGAGAACCCCCCGTCCGCAAGCCGCTCCATGGCAGCCCCGTGGGGTCGCAGCACCGAAACGGCCGCGCAAATCTCCCTGAGCGTCGACCGCGCGGCGGAAGCCCCACCGCCGCCGCCGTTGCCGTCTCCGGCCAACACCAACACCAGGGCCCCGAGCCTCGTCGCGTAGGTTCGGACGGCCTCGTCCGTCAAGGGGTCGATCGCCGCGGCGTTTGCCGCGAGGACTACTCCCAGAGACGGCTGCGGGCGCGCGGGCCCGTCTTTGGCCCTGCCGCCTCCCGGCGACGAGGAGGAGAGTCTTCGGACCGACGCTCGTCGGGTGCAGTCGCCGCACGTCCAGAGCAGGGAGCAAAGCAGCTTCGAGGCGTGGGCATGGACTCGTGGCCAGCAGGAGAGGCAAAGCGCCCGGACGGCCCGGAGGGACGCGGCCCGGGCGTCGAGCCTCGATGATACTGGGGGAGACTTTCGCGAAGGGGGTAGGGATTGGGTGGTGGGAAGGGGGGACGTGTGCTGTCAAGGGCGACGAACGGTTTCAATTGTGTATCTGGGTGAGAAAAGTTTCAGCAACGGAATGGTGGCTGGCGACCGCGGTCGAAGGTCAAAAGAACAAGGAGATCCAGAGTGAACCAGATCGACAAACAAAAACACGGCTGCGGCTCGGCCCCGCAGATACAGCGACAGGCCTCGATTACCTATAGTTGAAGTAGAGAAGGCGGCCGCGTCGACGCGCACTTAGCGTGTTGTGTTGCAACAAGCCAAGCAAATATCTAGTACCTACACAAACGGAGCGCCGAGCCCTCTCGCTAGAAGTCTAACGAAAAAAATGAGGGGGGTGAGCGCACGTATGCATACATGCATACATACATTCATACATACATACCTGAAGGATCGGGAGGAGGCACAGAAGCGCCGGCCGAAGAAACTCGCACGGCGCGTACCCTTTCCCGGTGGCCGGCACCTCCAGCAGGGCAGCCGCGCCGCAAACCATGACGGCCTTCACCGCCCCGTCCGTTGCCCTCGCCGCCTGCGCTAGCGTCTCTCTCGCGATTCGAATCCCGGCACGCTCGCCGCCGCCGCCGCCGCCGCCGCCGCCACCGCCGCCGTTCTTCGGTGAGCGTCGCAGAAGCCTCACCACCGCCGCCATGCACAACGCCGACGCGGAAGGGTCCCTCCCGCCGCACCTGATCCCCCTCTCGAGGACCTCCAGCAGGAGCCCGCGGTGCAACCCCAGCTCCGCCGGCGGGGCCTCGGCGAACAGCCGCAGCAGCAGCGAGAACCCTACGGCCTGATGGGCCGGGTCGTAGTCGTCCGCGAGCGGCAGGGCCAGCGGCAGTGCGTGCCCGAGGGCCGCGCCGGAGAAGAGCGGGAAACGAAGCCTCCGGATCGCCGCGGACGCGGCGTGCTTGATGCCGACCCCGGCGTCCTCCCGCCACCCCCCGCGAGCGCGAGTGGCAGCCCGTAGGGCCCGCATCAGCGTCTCGGCGGCGGCGGTGGGCCCGCTTCCGCCGGCGTCGTCGCCGCCCAGGTAGAGCGCGCTCCAGGCGATGTCCACGAGTCGCTTCGCCAGCTCGACGGTGGTGGCGTGGCTCGCCCACGGCGCGGAGAGATAGTGTCTCGGGAGCGCTTGCCCGTGCACGCACGACTCCCACGGTATGGGGGCAGTAAGCTCGGATGCTGAGGAGGGTGCTGTTGCTCCTGCGGGATCGAGCCCCGGGGTGTCCTCCGGCGACCGCATGCAAGACAGCCAGGCCTCGTTGGGGTCGTCGGCCTCGGTGGCGGCTTGCTCGAAGGGCAAGGC